TTAAATATATAACCAATCCTCTACCTGGGAACACTGTCTAGTTGCACTAATTGTTTCAAAAGAGGACATCTGATTTATTTGGACCATGTTGTATCTCATGCATTACGATAATGCAATCTCTGAATAAATGTACAGGTTAGAGACGCACCATCATAAAGGTTCATTATGAATTTGCCGAGTAAAAGTGCTCCATGCGATAAGTCGTCTACATAGAAGAAGCTAGTAATGTCGAGGCCTGCCTTTGGAAAGGCAGCTTTATTATTATTAGCAATTTGTTTCAAGCATTGTGTTGTGAAACATGCAAAAGATGCATGGCCATCAGTGAAAGTATTTCATTTATAGGTTTTTTAGAGACTGAAGACTGCTCTCCCCACATGATTCTTTGATGATTAGCATGTTCTTAGGTCAATAGAAATATGCGGTACTTTAGCAGCAGAAGCGCAATTATAATTTTCAATTTTAAAGTGGTATCTATTAAATGTGGATGAATGTTTGGGCCCGCCCAGAGAAGGTTATTTAAACTGTGCCAAGAAGTCAAAATTCATCAACGCGAGAAAAAAGGTTTTCAATTTCCTGGATAGGCAATTAGAATTCTGAATACATAGAAATGCAGAATATGGTGTTTTATTACACGTTAGTGCATTCTGCTATGACTGAACCTAACAGTGTATCTAATAAGAGGGACAACATTAGGTGGTGAGATGTTTATCTTTTAAAACTTCGAAGAAACACTGAAGAGTAAAATAACACTACAATCTTGTAAGACAAATAAAACGTATCATCTGCAAGTTTGAGATGTGTTGGAATTTTTTACTTTGACATATCAAGAGACGTTTGAGGAAAGTTTGATGAAATAGACGGATCTATTAGATATTGCACTCCAGTTTGCCAATCATTAAAACGAATTTGATAGACACATTTACTTCCCCACTCGATCCTGCTTTCAGATAATTAACTGAATGAACCAAATAGTGACACACACTTCTTTGAATACTTAGTAAGTGGACAAGAGCCTCCATTATTAAACTAATTTCACTGTCTGAGTCTAGCAATTCTCTAACTGGTATATCATTACTAATTTTGTCAGTGACTAAAATAATAGCACTAGTTGGCAACTAGGCCCCAAATTTCTTTGTTTTACCAAAGACCATATGAGAGAAAACTTTCTAAGCCACTTGTGCTGCCGGGCTAACCATAGAGCATTCTCCTGCGTCGGGGAAAGATTGAGATTATTCATTTACAAAAGTTCTAGGAGCCCATTATTAACGTTATGTTTGAATTCACTGCCTGTCCATTATGATTTGGGTCATGCAAAAGAGAACGATGTTTCAGATTACATATCCTGCACAACTTTTTGCTACAGGGGTGGTCTATGACGACTTTGAATAAACAATTCATGCATGGGCATGCAATGGGCCCCAGTGAATTTTCGGAAAGCGTTGTATGAATTTGTCGCAAGGCCCCGTTTGTGAGCAGCGGCGGCTTGCGCTATTGCTCTCTGAGCAGAGAAAAGGATTTGACGGATGGCATACCGAAGAGGGCAGTACTGATGTCGCTGAGCGACTTTAATCCAAAGATGGTAAGAAACTGGGTCTCTCTCTCTCGGGAGTTCTAGTCAGTTATCAAATACTCTCTTTAGAGAGAAAAAATGCAGCCAAATGCCTCTTCCTCGGGATTGCTTACCCCGAAAAGCAAAGTGGAGTTCTATATAGAGCTAGTGAAAGGAACTGACGGAAGTTTTATGATTGGTCACCTAAAAAATGTAGACAAATGCCTCTTGCTCGGGTTAGCTTGGCCCGAAAAGCAAAGTTAGAGCTCAATAGAGCTATTGAATGGAATTGTTCACATGTCGAGGAAAACGCCACTCGCTCGGGACTAGTTCCCCGAAAGAACATTGCGTACGAACGGTAGCTGTGGTACGAATGTTGTGGTGCATGGCCTAAAATGAGAGGGCGGCGCTGGTCCAAACTCTCGCGAAGAAACGGTGACGCGGAAGCTTCTTATTGTTTCCTCGGGAGCACAGGGAGTTGAAATCCGACTCCGTGTAAGCCCGCCCTGTAGCGGGGCGGCAGTTACGACGGTCAAGAAATACGTGGAAGACGTCTCGACCGTCACCTACCCCGTCGCGAGACGGGCGAGGGGGCGGCGGGCCTCTCCGGACCTTGGCTTTACGGCCTTCACAGCGCGGAACGCGGTGGTTAGCTAGCGCGCGGCGGCGGCCCGAAGGGGCTTCGTCCTCGCGCGTATCCCATCGATACGTTCGCGCGGTGACAGGAGAGGGGGCTTGAGTGAATAACTCGTCCTCGGATCAACCGGCGCGCGTAAGTCTCAGTCTACTTTCCGACCCGTCTTGAAACACGGACCAAGGAGTCTAACATGTGCGCGAGTCAATGGGAGTTTTCTAAACCCAAAGGCGCAATGAAAGTGAAGCCGGGGGGCGCGGTTGACCACTGCCGCCGCTCGCGAGGGAGGATGGCACGGGGCGCGCGCTCTTGCAGAGGGGCGCGGCGTCTTTTACTCCGGCCCGCACTCCCGGGGCGTCGGTTCGCGGCGCCACCGAGCGCACACGTTGGTTTAACCCGGAAAAAGGATGGTTGAAAAAACCTATTTTGGCCTTGGCCCCAGGGGGGGGACCGAAAAAAAGGCCAGGGAAAAAAAAAAAAACCTGGGGGAAAGGTTTTTTTTTTCCCGTTTTTAAGCATTCTGGACCCCGTGGCCCCCAAATCCGAATTTTCGGTTCTTTTTGAAGGGGGCTGGGTATAGGGGCGGAAAGGACTAAATCGAAAAAAAAACCCATTCTAGTAAGCATGGTTTCCCTTCCGAAGTTTCCCTCAGGATAGCTGGCGCTCGGAGACTTGAAAACCATGACAACCGAATCTCAAACAGAGTTCCGATTGAAAGAGAAACTCCATTTAAGACTCAAATTAAAGAGTCTTGTGTGCGAGATTCAGCGCTCTTGCTTGAATAGTTTCGAAGATAGAGCCATTAGAAATAGAATATTATTTTCAGAACTTGCAACATGCGAAAATACAAGGCTTTCAATTTAAGGTTCCTAGAGGCAACAGATCTCATCCATATATAACTAATGACATTTTCTAAATCTATAAGACTTTACGAACACAACCGTGTCTCTAGAATTGACTTATGTTTTATAGTTTGTGAAATATGTTGGTTTAACTTTTGAGTAAAAAGTGCAGTTTCGTCGTTTCATGAATCAACATAAATTTGCCGATTTTCGACATGCCAAGGATTTTTCTGAAAACCTTGTTCCTAGCACGAAATTTTATGGCGAATTCACTGGTGATACCCTTTTTTCGATTAGAAACTTAGTTTTTCAGAAAATCGGAAAATTTTCCCATAAACGTCAATTTCTTTACAACAGCAGTGTAAATTATTTCAAGCACGTTCTAATTAAAGGAGAAACTCCATTTAAGACTGAAATTAAAAGTCGGGTTGTTTAGAGGTTATTAGTGATTGTTCTCGAAGTGACTCTGATTAAATTCTTTTTTAGTGGTCGTAGTTTCTGGAACGAATACATGTGTGTGTAAATAGGCTATCCAGATCAATTCAAAGCCGATTAATATTTGTGCAAAGTGGGGTGTGAAAGAAGATTTAAATAGAAAATTCATATTTTCAAATATCTCTGGGAAGTATCGCGTGAAAAGTTGAGTAGCATTGAAGCAGTTCTTTGATAAGTGATTTTACGAATCGCAGGAATACAGTGTTGTGAAGTGAAGGGGGAGCTTTGAAGAATTGTAGAAATCGTGTTTGGGTTCAAATGAGCCGTTGCGTTGCTAAGAAATGAGTGTTTAGGAAAAGTGCTTGTGAATCATCTCAAGTGTGTGGTGACGTACATTTGTGCTTCGTAGCTGGACTTCTCATCACCGTGGCCTTGGTCTTCACGACGCCGTCTCTTCTCGTTTTTTCCCTTGTTCCCACCAGGTGCTTAGAAAAATGTTTAAAATCTGGAAAGCGTAGTTGCAATCGTTTTAAGGTCGTATAGTGATTAAGCAAACTTAAAGAAGAGTTTTTTTTCATAGTCGTATGTGCAAACTTCAATGGAAAATGTAATAGGATAAAATCTGTATGCAAGTCAATAGGACCAACATTGTGCATGTTAAAACAGTGAAATTATCAATCTTTTAAAACATTAACATTATAACATTATCCTATATTTTATTATTTTGAAATAGAAAATATTTGGCAGTTTAGTTTGAAAGAATTTTAATTCCCTGAAAATCATTGATCAGACTACAAGCATCTCAAATAGGAACTAGGAATGTAGTAAATAGAATTGATTCAACAGGTTAGGGTTTTAGAAAATCAGTAAATTACTAGGTTTAATTAGAATATTTGCGTATTGTTTTCAATCTCTCAGAATTATAAGCAGTTATAACGGTCTACAGTTCAGTTAGAGTAGGGTAGAGTAGATTCCAATCCACAGGGCAGGGTAGAATACCACCCCTGGCAGAAGAGGTGCAACGCATTGGCCTGACGCCGGTGGAGACTGGAATCGGTGAGTGTCCTGGGTGGATCGCGTCCCGTTTCCCGTCCTATGTCCTGTGCCGTTCGCAGCGCCCGCGGCAGCCTAAAGGCAAGTTTGCATTCCTTCTCCCGACTGCACGAAGGATGATGCAGGTCTAGACGCCCACACATCCAGACACCCCCCCACCCCACACACAGACACCCCCACCTCTCAAAGCACCCCTTTGCATCCTCAAAGCATTAAAAATACTAGTCAATTTCAAAAGGCTCTATCTCCCAAACTATTCAAGCTACCGCGCAGAATTCGCGCACGAAATTGTATGTACTTTACTCTTTAATTTTAGTGTTAAATGGAGTTTCTTCTTTAATCATACACTTCTCAAGCACCTATACCAGTAACAGCGGCAGTCAACACATGAGCATCTTTTAGGCGTAGACAGATGAAAGGTACAATAAGATTGAATGGAAATAATTAGAGAAGTATGCACTCAAAAGTATTTATTTCAATTTTAACCAGTTTTGATGACATCACTATTCTTGAGGGAAAATTAGTTTCAAATTGAAGTTTCTCTTATAAAAAAACAAAGATGTTTTTCATACAGAAACCTATCCTTAACGTATAATTTCAAAAAAATGACGACTTCATTTGTTATAGAAAGCTCTTGTTAATACCTGAAAAGAAGATTTGACAAATGCATTTCTAGAATTTCTGTTTATTCTAATTTGTCGTGTCAGTAGCTAGAAGGAATAACTTCAATGTAACAAATAAAAAGTAAGTAATTCACACATATCTTGGGGGATTCTTGTACAACAGTTTGGTTGAGTAACTGACACAAAAGGAACCAATAAAGAATCCTATGTCCATAAGAATGTTTACCATGCAGAAAATAGAAACTCTTGGCTGCAATTACTTCAAAGGAAAACAATTAATAGAAAAAGTGCTAGTTTCTAATATTTTTGTAAAATAAGTTATTGAACAAAAATAATACTAGTTACCAAATTTCAATGTCAATTTTAATAAACACTGATAAATAGGAGATTCATTAAAAATCTGCCTACTAAAATAAATTTTCAAGGAACAATAAAATCTCCTTTAATTTATAATTTTTTCTGGTAAAATAATTAAAACTGGAAATTTACCCCACGAAAATATTTGAGTACTACTGAGAGTTTCCTGTTCTAATGAAGCTCCCACAGGAGAAAATGTTCATTGTGCTCACTCTTTTGCAGCAGTACATTACTCTTTTACACTATGAAATAAAACAAAGCTGCCCATCTGCGTACATCAGCACATAAAATTAAATACAGAGCTCACTGAGGAAAGAGCATTCATGATTTTGTAGCATAAGCATTTCAATAATTTCTTAATGGAAATCTATAATCTCACAAGTTCAACATCAATCTGTATTAAAATAAACTCTTTTACAAATGAATGTTGCTTCTTATTGAGCTTATTTGATAAAATAATTTGTAAGAATTTCTGAAGTCATAATTCAATGTAAATATAAAATAACATTTTCAAATCTTGTTTTGAGGACTGTTCCAATATATAATACTTCCCATGTAAACATACCTTTCATGATTAAGAACTGCGAGAACCTTACCTAACAATTTGCAACACTATTTGCCTAACTATCAGATGGTAATAAACATGATTATGGTGCCTCACAATTACACAGAAGCATTTGCAAGCTCTTTAGTACTAGTGAAAACAATCGTATAGCTGCTTTCACACCTCTCGAGTCATCCCGGACACAGAGTAGCGCCCCTGGGGGGGAGGCTGGTGGGCAGGAGGGTGTCCTGGGGGGCCAGGGGGCCCAGCTTGACTGAAGAGAAGACGTCCTGTAGCTGCTTGGGTAACATACACACTCTGCAAAACAGAAATTTAATATTGTCACTGAGAAAAAGTTTCTATTCACCTTGAGTCAACATTCAAATTTGATATTGTGATCCATTTTTTTTTATCTAATGTGCTTTGCTGCCTGAATAATATGACTCTCAAAAGTTGATTGCTCTATTTCATGTTTTATTGAAGGAATGCCAAGAAACTAAGTTATACTTTGAAAAGCAGAAGTTGAAGAGATAAAAAAAAAGCAACATTGATAAGAAAATGGCTATCTAATAGGAAAACAAGTATCCATTATTTCAAATTCAAGAAATGTATTAACGTGTCGCTTCTAATACGGTTAGATTCAGATATTTTCCTGATCTAACAAGAGTACCCTTTACCTAGCTAGCTCTTGGAGGTCCAGGTGCAGAAGATTCAAATGGGATTCTAATATCCATTGAGGCTAAGTGCATATTACAATATAAATTAGATTTAACCACTACATAAATTATTCTCCATTTTATGCCACGGTGTAACTCATTCTCAGGTTCCTACTCTAAAACGATTTTGTACATGTTTTGTTTGTAAATCACACAAAGTAGAATAGACAATAATGCAAATCGAATTCATCTCGTGAAACATAAACATTTAAAGTTGCTAGTATATTTGTACTGTAATGTTTCCATTAGTACAATGTGTGTTTTACAAAGAAAAATTTTACAAATTCAATCTCTGGTTGCACTGTACGTGTTCGATGAGTAGCACAGCTGATTGTGACAGACATGAACATACAGACGGGCCCCAACACCCCTTGCTCAAGTGGACCTTCAATACATAATCCTTGTTACCTTGCTGTTGCTGTTGTTTCTTGAAATTTTCCCACATTCAATTACAGCAAAAATAAGGAATAACAATCAAAAATGAACCCTTCTAAAAATCTTAATTAAATGATTACAGGGACACCAATGCGTTGCATAATACAATTATTCTACCCCCTTTTTTTTATGCAGACACAACATAAGAAAACAAGATTATTTAAAGAAGAATAAACTGAAATATAAAATGAAGGATTTGAGTGGAAAGATAGACATACTTCCTTGAATTACAAATTACATTTTTTAAATACCCTCTTTAATATTTACGCCTAAATAAATTTTAAAAAAAAAAGATAAAAAAATTATAAAAATAATTTAAAAAAATGTTTTTTGATGATCCTGAATAGTGTGTGTCCATATTCACAAATTTGAAGAGCATTTTCCTCACAGCCTGGAAATAAACTAAAGTTGTCCCTATATTCAAGAAATGAGATAAAAGTGATATTTCAAGTTGGCATTCTATTTCCATTATATAGTATTGCCCAAATCTTTTCGAGAAACTTGTAGTATACTGCTTCACTTCATGACTGCCTTGATGTATATAATGGAATATTTTTGAGTTTCAGTCATTCAAAAACATCATTTAAATTGCTAACATTTCTGCTTTTATTAAGCTTTCATCAGGGCTACAAACAAAGGTATTTTTTATACACTCGTCTAATACAACTTCCACATTCCACTTATATTCTTGTAGTTAATGCTTTGGCACCATACTTTTCTGCAATTATTTCACACTATCAACAAGGTTTCACTAACAATAGATGTACTACAACTAATCTAGCTATATTTCAAAACTATATCATTAAAGCCTATGAATTAGATTCTCATGTCGATGCTGTATACATGAATTTTGCGAAGGCTTTCGCCACATTAATCACAACTTTCTGATTGACAAGTCGTACTTGGGAATCAATGATCCACTCCTATCAAGGAAACACTTCCATCTTTCCAGCAGAAGTCATTTTGTCATTAATTGCCACACATCCAAGACATTTGTAATTAGTTCAGGTGTATCTCAAGGCTCTCATCTGGGTCCGATTCCGTTTTATTTTTTCATAAAAGACCTGCAGTCTGTTATTAAATTTAGTACAATCTTATTGTTTGCAGATGATGCCAAGATTCATGCCAGGGCTACCGAGTTTAACAATGTCTATGCTTGGAATAGGATTTCTCTGCCTTCTAGCAGTGGTCTACAAACAAAACGAAACTTTATTCAGATAATTTTTATGCAATGACCTTTGCCTGGAGACATGTCAAAAAATGCCAAGATTCATTGAACAGTCTCTAATGTAAGGGATTTTGGTGTGATTGACTCTCAACTTCATTATAATGTATATATCACTGTTTTAGTGAAGAAAGCACAGAGTACACAGGACCTGATATTGCACAACACTAAGTTCTTCTGGTTCATTGATTGCTTATTAATTTTTTATAAAACTTGATTCATCCAATTTTATAATACAGCTGTATTATTTGGTCATCTTACAATAAATTTTTTATCAATCAATTAGAAAAAGTGCAGCAAATTTCTAGGCCAATTACCATTCAACAATGGGACACAAATCCATAAACCAACAATCTTTCCGAAGTCTACATTTAAAAATAATTGGAAACACTTCAAAAAAGGAGAAAATTCTATGATATAATTGTCTTCCATAAATGCCACAAAGTCTCATTGATTGAGCTTGTCTCCCTTAACTTTGTTCACATCCCTCAGATGAGAACAAGAAACTCAGCCCTGTATCTGGGCAGAGGCGTCTTCTAAGAACAATAGCTATTGTGACGAATATTGCATCACCTGCCGAATTCGCTGCGCGTGGATTGCGTCATCTGCCGGCGCCCCTACCCTTCCCCCGAACTAGACGGTTCCCGACTATCCGCGAGCCGCGGGGAAACGCCGAGAGTGTGCCGGGTGCCTGGAGACGAGCGCCGGGCAGGTATAAATGCGCCGCTGCCGGCGGCCGCGAGTCAGTGAGAAAAGTCAGTAGTGAGCAGTAAGACGTTAGTGAGTAGCCGAGAAGCAGTCAGTCCGTCAGTGTGTCCGAAGTGGAAGCTGTACAGTGAAGTGAGCATTGCGGTGAAGAGTGGTGCAGCGGTTGAACAGCAGTCAGCAGTCTGAAGTCTGCAGTGGAAGCTGAGCTGTGAAGTGGGCATCGCGGTAAACAACAGTGAAGTGTGGTCTGCGCAGGGGAATTGTGGTCTGCGCAGGGAAATGTGGTCTGCGCCAGTAATTGGGGTCAAGTGCAGTGGACCGTGGACAGTGCATCGGACTGACTGATACTGTAGAAGAAGAGAACAGTGTAAATAAATAGTGTGTAAGAAGTGAACTGTGTAAATAAATCATCAAGAGAACAAAGTCGTGTGTAAAGAAAAATAGTTAAGTGTAATATATCTGTAAATAGACCAAGTAGATTTTAGTGTATAATTGTTCACGAATAAACCTTGTTTAAATAATATTGTGTTGGTTTTAATTCACCACGGAGAAACGTTACACTATTTTGGGAGGACGAGCATGAATTTCAAGGGTTTACTGTGGAGGAGATAGATTGGTGTACAAGGTGGCTCGCAGAGAAGAACATCCTAGACGGAGCACGCAGCAGTGTGGAACACAGTGTGTGCTGTGTGCATGTAGAGTGCGTACCAAGAGAAGCAGACAGTTAACAGTTGATGAAGATAGTTTTCTTTATGTGTTAAAGTGTTTTTGTAACAGAATTCCAATAAACATTGTATTCTTTCATTTAAGTGAAGTGTGATTAATACTATTTCCTCACACTATTGTGTCTTTGACAGGCTGCCAAGTACTGCCAATTACTGTGCTGATAGAATTTATTTATTTGATCCTGAATTAAAATTTTTTTATTGTTGCCCTAACTTCTTTTACTCTTTGATCTGAAGTGTATTGAGCACCTTTCATTCTATGACTATATTTACTACTTCTATATGTAATCCTCTTATGCCTGCTGTGAAGCAGTTATTTGTTGGCTGTGCATTTTATATTCTTTAAGAATTATCTTCCTATATTTTTTATATTCATATCTTGCCATACAATGTCCATGATGCATTTCCTTCACATAATTATTTGTATTTCTAAGAACATGTCCTGTTAATAAATAAAAAAATAATTTAATATAAGCAGTGAGTAGCAGCAGTGTACTCACATGAGGTGTAGATGCAGAAGGCTGGTAGCTTCCTGTTGTGGCATGAGGAGGGGCAGAAACTGGTTGCGCACGAATGGGATACCCTGAAGTAATACCTCCGGTTTTAGCCCCCTGAAACAACAAACATTAATTAGTTTCTATTCATACACTATTTCCCACAAAATAAGACTACTAGCAGTGTAAAGTGATTATTGTTATTTTCACAAGTAAAAAGCTAAAAAGAAAGTCACAAATATTTTGGGCAGGCTTTATTTCACATCCTAAGAAAAGTATAAAAAGGAATTTTTGGCCTATTAAAAATCCATGACTTCGATTGAATTTGAACCTGCAAGCTTGGGTAGAACAGCCCATTAACCATTATACAAATGCGATGTTTCCATCTAGTCTCCCAATATGTGAGGTAGTGGAGGGTGAGCAATGAGAGTGAGTATAATGGGCGATAAAGGGACAAGGACGAGGGAAGGAAACATTGCATGTGGTTCTTGGCCCATGGTTTTACATAATGTTCTGCATTCACCAGGCATTCATTGGAGAAACCACAGAATGCTACTGATCAGAGGAGCTGGCTGCTAAGATTCTACTTCAGACAACAAGTGCAATCGATCTAGCTGCGTAGCTAGTGAAGAAAATCTGCCACTGTCACACGACTTGAACCAACTCTGACCGAGAGGACCTCTCGGTCAGAGACTGCACTGGCAACAGTTGTTGCCATGAGCTATCTCAACATCCCCTCTATAGATAATATGCTAAGAAACAATGACAGATTTGTCCTATTTATAAGAAACTATGGATATAAACTGCTGCAGGTGTATTACTGCAGGGTAGGGAATTACCTCCAAAGGATGCACCAAAGTGATTCAAGATTAAAAACAGATTTGATGACACGTATCCTAGGCTTTAAGATGATCAAATTATAGTTATTCCATGAAAGGAAACTTTATTGACATGTCACATAACACAAGGTTTTATGACCACATTGATTACAAGTTGAAATGAAAAGTTGATTATGTTCAAGTGAAAAATTCATTTAGGTTATAAAAAGTAATTCACTATAAGTCATAAGAAAAAAAGACAATAACAAATTAGATAAAGACAATTACATTGAAACAGTACATAACAATCCAGAAAATAGACAATGGAAAGGTATTTGAATATGAAGTAAATAGAACCAAAACTCAAGAATATCTAAAACTCACCAAGGAACTGCACAAGAGTTCTCTAAAAGTTAAGATTATATATTAAAAACATAAAACCTATTAAAGACAAAAACATTCCACAACCAGTCAAAAAACTTAAAGCCTGAAAAAGAACAAGTTATCACTTCGGGTGACATTATAATAGGAGGAAAAGTGAGGGTCACGCTGCGTCGGATCTCAAAAAAAAAAAAAAGTTAGACAAAAAGAACTATAAGGTTCAAATTTTGTTCAAAAATAGAATAAGTAAAACAACTTGATTCTTTTCCAGATTTATTTTTTTATAATGGTTTCTGTAGTAATCAATGTTTAAAGACTTCAACAACTAGAATCCTGGGGTTCATTAAATCAAAATTGTGAGAAAACGCATTTCACTGTTTTCAAATTCAGTTGTTTGCTTGGATTTTATTTACTTAGTTGAAGAACAGTAAAAACTGTATGTGATTTATGAGGGAAAAGTACCATCTGAGCACATTTTCTTCAGCTCCAGAATCTCTTCCCAACATTTTAAGACTAAATGCACCGAAAAATACTTGTTGGAAAATTCAATAGATCGCAGGGGAATTTACTTTACCGATAACGTCTGAACCAATGGTCCGATTTTCGATCTGTAAACGGCATTTGACACCTTTTTAAAATAGAATTTACGCTACGAAGCCTTTTTCCAAAAATCTAGCAAAAACTGTGTTTTTAAATTAGTTCTCAAACTTCCGAGAATCAATTTAAAAACGTGGGCTTATATCGCGATGGCGACATGCTTCCTGAATCAAACGCCGTGACAATCATGCAAATTAGACCAATAGGAACGTCGTAAAGTGAAATTTACGAAAACACCTCGCCCCACTAAGGTCTGTAATCATTCCAACTTGCTCTAAGACCTTCCGTTTTCAAATACCGGAAAGAATGAGCAGAGTATACGCACGAGCTCTTTTATCCTACAACTCGATTTTTGATCTCAAAACGATGTTTATCTGATTTAAAGAGTTAATCTGGTGAATCTCTTTTCCCAAGTAAAATAGCCGAAGCTATTTTTAAAACTGTTTTCGTACCTTCGGGCAAATTTAAAAAAGTGCATGATCTTGGCTGTCCGGGTGAAGTCGCGTCGAAAGCTGTGTTGCCGACGTTTCGACCATTTTGTCGTGATCTTCCTCAGGGATGGTATGCCCCATAGAGTAGAGTATCTCTCCTCTATGGTATGTCCATGGCATACCAGCCTGAAGAAGACCTCGACAAGATGGTCGATACGTCGGCAACACAGCCTTCGACGCGACGTCACCCGGACAACCAAGATCATGCACATGACTCTGGCCGCGGAAGCCTACGAGTTCAAATTTAAAAAATGTGGTAAAATAGCGGGCTGGCGAGGTGCATTCTGACTCCAACGCCGTAACAAGCATCGAAATAAGATGTTGTGGAATATATCTTATTTGGCAATGTAATTGAATTTCCCTATTATCAAGAGAGATATATGTGATCATGGATACTTACAGCGACCACAGACCTCCAGAGCTTCAGTATAACAATATATTTATTAACAAAGAAAAAAAACAAATATCATACACTTAACTATCTATTGACACCCTAGCCTCTAATTAGACCTACTATCCCCTGAACGCAGCGGGACGATCCAAACCCGACTTGAAAGTATGGTGTTTGTTGTGGCATTCGCCACTCCTACTTTGAAGCGCAACCAAAGTAGCTTCGTGACCGGATGTCACGCTGGCACAATTGCCGTTCTGGCCACAAATGCTTGGTTATTGCCTCAATCGGCAGAGCATTCTTTCGATTGAGAATCGCGTGAATCGTGGCACTCCAACCACTCTTCACCTCGGAGAGCACGCACACGAGCATCGCTCCCCGTGACCGCAGTCACCCAGGACCTTCAAGTCCGCAGGCTTCCGATTACTAGTACTCGAGCCTCGCGAGCTGCTCGCATATGCACCGTCGTGGCGCCAAGTTTTGTGCACACGCAACGAGGGTCCCACTGTCATCCAAAACCCACCCACTGGCTGCTGGACATTATGATATAGCGAGTCCACGTGACTACTACGTCACGCACCCCTCGTTTATAACAGTGAAAAGGCCCGATGAATTCCCCAAGGCCGTGTGTCTCCCGTTTCCGCGTATCTTCCCTTTACGGAAAACCCTTCTTCCTGTGGCGAGGCATCTCTACCAAGTCCCCAATAGATGCCATAGCCATGCTGCTAATACTTACATTATAGTCAACTTGCCGCCTTGCGAAAGATGGGGCTCAAAATCGTATACTAGTTGAAACACTTCAACGTTGTTCAACGTCAAATTAATTTGTGTGAGACAGCAAGTGTGTGAAGTGGCTGTTTTGATTGACTATTTAGTTACAAGAAACTTCAGATTATTTAGAGGAGATATTACTGCATATAATCAAAAGTACAAAATGGCCATGATTGAGAGTGTTTGTACTATCTTTCAATATTTTAGATCATCAATTAAACATGCAGAAAATGCAGAATTTCCAACGATGCTTTCTTACATGCAGACTCTTTAGACACCACCACAAAAAACAACACTGCAGAACTCGTTAGGCCAATACAGTCGCAGGACAACCACACATTTTTCATAATTTACGTTTTATGTTGAAAAATAGAAACCAACTTTTTAAATTTCGTTGGTCAGTCACAGAAGCTTTGTTTCTTTCTCTTTGTATCGCCTGTAGTCTGTACACAGAAGATTGGGAAAGTATTGCATGTCTGCTCCTAGCGGACTTCAATCTACAGGTACTAACCTTTGATTTCGGACTTTTATAAAGTAAATAGAATACTTATACTAACTATACTAATATATAATAATAATCATCCTGTAGAATAACTTGGTACATGCATAAAAGTAACCAAGAAAACTTCAAATTATATGTTACTTTTAGTTTACGAGAAGTGAAACTTTCCCCAATTTTACCAGTAGTTACATGTAGCTTCGTCATGAAAATTCAAATTCCCTTCATCGTTTCGCCTCTCTCCTTGAAGCGCGGCCGTGGGGAGAGCGCCAAGATCGGCAGGGATCCGGTTCCCGCTTCGATGAATACGAGAGTCTGTGTTATTCGCCTTCAGCTAACGGAGTGGGAAGTGTCACAGCAAGAGCGATTCAGCGGATATTTTTCGGGTGGGTATTCTGTAAATCATAATTGTATTTTTATTATATTGTATATTATTTAAGACTTCACAACTGAAACCCTTTTTAAGAAGATAAACGTCGTTT